GGCCAGGCTTGTTTTGTTTGAGATACAGCGAGAGCTCGAGAACGCCTGAGAAATGCGTCTCCTCCAGCGTTTCCTCTTTGCCGTTCACCTTTGAAAGAACTTCAATCAGATGCAAATTTTACAAAAAGCAAACATGCTATTAGATGACTAATACTCCCTGATTACAAATGCAGAACAAGCTCTTAGCCTTTGTCTGATAAGAATACATTGTTCACTATTGTTAAGCAGCCATGATAAATAAACCTAATTAGATGCGCTAATGGCTTTAGCAAGACCAGTGGAAATCTTCTGCTAGAGTCTTATTAACATATCAATGGCTACTTTGCCCTTTTTTCCCCGTTTCTTTTTTTTTTTCTGAAATCAAACACTTTACCACTGTTGCCATGGTGATCACAGGTCATTGTCATGGCAGTACAGAGAATCAGATCAGTCCTGTAATTGGTTGACCCCACAGTGTATATGGACTTTAGTCATTAACACAGTGTCATCACATGACACTTCGCCTGGCATGTAGGTGCTGGGGGAGATCATTTGCATATTAGCTCATCGGGTCGTGCTAAATATTTAGGGTTATTACCGTCCTGTGCGGTGCGCTGTCGCCTTGTTGTTTACATGGATAATGTCACTCTGACATTTGGGGTCTATTGCTTTTGAATAAAGACTGACCATTTAAACACGACTTTTCTGTTTAGAGAAGAAGAAACAAGATTATCATAATTAACTTCACTGAAATTTTGAAGATTATTTTTCTTGTTTAGATTAATATTGGTACAGAATCTTCTAAGATAATAATTGTTTCATACAGATAGGTAATCACAACTTATCTCCTAACGTGTCTTCATATGCAGGTGGCATGTAAAGCAGTGATGGTTTTCTTCCATTACTGTGTCATGTCCAACTATTTCTGGCTGTTCATTGAAGGTCTGTATCTCTTCACTCTGCTGGTGGAGACTTTCTTTCCCGAGAGACGCTACTTCTACTGGTATACCATTGTTGGGTGGGGTAAGTAGACATTTTTGCTTGATTATCATTATTGCCATAAAGTGGTGACTAATTTACATGACTGGCCATTTTATTACTATTATGTTCCTTTTACTATATATTCCTGTTTAACAGCTTGTTAGTGCAAATATCTAATATCTATCTAGCTCATTTGTTGGGATTTTCCTATACTCCACCTCTAGATCGGCGGTCCCCAACCTTTTTTGCGCCACAGACCGGTTTATACCCGACAATATTTTCACGGACCGGCCTTTAATGTGTTGCGGATAAATACAACAAAATAAAACTAGTACCGGTACCGAAAAAAAGATTTATTCATAACACACGTGAAAACCGAGTTAACAATCAAAAAGATAACAAAATAACGCTGAAAACCGATAAAAACCCTGAAAACCATACATTTCACACCTGAGCCTGAACTCTTGCGGCCCGGTACCAAACGACTCACGGACCGGTACCGGTCCGAGGCCCGGGGGTTGGGGACCGCTGCTCTAGATGGTTCACAGAGAATGTTTTTGAAAAAAGACAAGAAAATATCCACTGAGCTAAAGAAAAGCCGTGTTGATGCCAGAGGTCAGAGAAAATTTGCCAATCTGCTTTGAGCTGATGGGAAGACAACAAATAACAGTTGTTATAAATCTAATATGCAGAAGAGAATCTCTGAATCAAACCCTGAAGCAGATGGGCTACAGCAGCAGAGACCAAACTGGGTACCTCTCCTGTCAGCTAAATACAGGAAGCAACAACTCACATTTTGATGAGTCTCAATTTCTGCTGCTACATTTGGATGAATCAGAATTTGGTGTAAACAAAATGAAAGCTTGGATCTTTCTGCCTTGTATCAACGGTTGACACTACTGGTGGTGTTATGCTGGGGAGGACATTTTGGGGCTCCTTAGTACCAATTGAGCATTGTTTAAACTGCTAACCACGTCAGTCACTTTATGACCACTGTGCCATCTTCTGATGGCCTCTTCCATCAATTCAAACTGGTTTTTCGAACATGACAAAGAGTTCACTGTACTCAAAGTCATCAATTCTCAGTCCAACAGATCACCTTTGGGATGCGGTGGAATGAGAATGTTATGCTGTCATGTCAATATGGACCAAAGTCTCTGTGAGGAACGTTTCCAGTACCTTGTTAATTTTATCCCGTGAAGAAATAAAGACATTAATTAGGCAAAAGGGGACCATTGCTGAGTTACTAATCAGATTGTGAATTTTAAAATTTGTGCTGTTTACCATTTAAAATTTTGTTTATTATCTATTGTATCTTCTGCACTGTATAGTTTTGATAAAAGATTTTTTTTAAAGCAAGTGGTGTTTTCTTTCTCAGTTGCTTGAGGTCTTGTTTAAACTTTTTTATAGCTGTTTGTTTGCCTTTGAGAGATTAGTGAAATTTGCCATTAAATGTTTTAAATATTGGCAAAACAAAGCTGAAGTAGGGAAATACGCCAATCTGATTGTGATTGTAGCCTTTGATACAGGGTATATCAGAAAGAATCATCCAATTTCAAAGTGCTTTAATTCCACGGCTGTTCACCGGTAACTATCAAAACATATATTGTTAGACAGAGAAGAGTCGTGAGTTTCACGCGGTTGCAGGTAAGTAATGTAACAACAGCGGTGGCTGTTCAGACATGTTTGCAAAAACATATTTGACTAGGACTTGGCTTTGAGATAAGCCGTGCATCTGGAGGGAAAAACGTTGAGTGCCTTAACTTTATATACATGTATTTTAAATTTGTTCATTACTTTAAAAATATAGCCTTTTGAAATCGGATGATTCCTTTTGATTCCTACGTTTATGTCTAAAGACGAGATTTGACTAGTAGGAACTATGGCAGTCACATTAACATTGTGCATTTTATTTCTGTTTTACTTTTTCTGTTTTTTTTATTTCTGTTTTTTCATGATTACAGGAACTCCCACAATTTGTGTGACTGTTTGGGCTGTTCTGAGGCTCCATTTTCATGACACTGGGTATGTCTGGACTCCTCTTCCCCACCTTTAGTCACTGAAACTAAGTGCATATAATCTTTCTGCTGCTTTACAGTCCTTTTCCACTGTAATTTAGAAGCAGAGATTATACATTATATTACACAATATTTATTGGATTTTGTAGTAACTATTAGTTATGCTCTAGATTTCAGAATCAGCCAATATTTGATATGAATACATTTCAAACGGGGCTCGAGAGCCATGGAGTAAAAATCAGTATCCATTAATACTGGTCTTCTTATATTATATTAGATAATTACACATTATTAGATACATTGTTTGATAATATCAGATAATGTTACAATAGATTATAATATTGGTCACTTTTACAATGATTTTTATCTTCTTTTGCTTTTGGTGCCCTTTAAGCAGGAGCCTCTTTTATGTGTGAACACTGGCACCTGTAAGTCTTTTACATGTGAAACTAGTTGCTTATTAACGATCACAAAGAACCGTCAGGACTGTTATATAAACACAGGTGTCATATTATTAGCCACACAGGCCAGAAAACCTCTATTAGTTTTATTAAAATCATTTTTTAATAATATATTTTCATTAAGAAATTTACAATATAATTAATGTAATCAGTGTAACTGATATTGACAGAGGTTTGGTGATGTTTACATGAGAAGTTTTAGCCATTCTTATTAACAAAATACTGATGACAATACTGATAATGTTTTGCCATTATGAAATTTCTCCCTTTGTTGGGTACGTTAAGCCTCTGTTGAGTGCTCGGTTATTGCATCCTTTTTCATCATTTTTGAGCACAATATGTGATGTAATACAAGTGTAAGAAAACAAAAACCATCTGATACTATTAAGCTAAGTTTGTAACTCAGTTTTTCATTCTCAGTTATTGAGAGTTTTTCCTTTCATTTTAAATCCTCCTCACTAATTTGACTATTTGGTGTATTATAATTGAAACCTGGCTCAATGTTTGGCAAACTATGAGGTTGTGCATTACCTAATGTCTGAAGCATGGTGTATGATTACTGAAATGTACTGTTGGCCTCCAGATGCTGGGATACGAATGAGAACACTGCCCTCTGGTGGGTGATCAAAGGACCTGTGGTGGCATCTATAATGGTATGACACTTACTGGTTGCTCATTCAGTTTTCCTTTTATTAACTTGCTCACCTTCAAATGCAAAAGCTAAATGTCAAAGGCTTTCTTACAGTGGCCCCAGTTTAAATCCTATCTATCCTAATGTGGTGTGAAACAAAAGGGAAAATAATTTTTTATAGACAAGCGTGTGATTGAGTAGACCAGTTTTAAAGGCAACCAGCAACCTCTGCTTGCTACTTCCTGAGGAAGAAAACCAAGCAGAGAAGGGAAAGACCTAATGTTCAACTGACCGCAGTGAAAATATTTTCTGTTTCATGTCAGATCAATTTCGTCCTCTTCATTGGAATAATCGTGATCCTGGTCCAGAAGCTGCAGTCGCCTGATATCGGAGGAAATGAATCGAGCATTTACCTGTAAGTTACAATCGGTGGGGTTAAATGTGAGTTCAAAAATGTCAAAATTTGGATGAAGAATTTATGCTTTAATAAATTTGATTGCTGCAGTTTTCTAGATCTTGCAACCCTGCTACTCACAGAGCTAGGATTCAGAATTTTAAGTTAAGGCTGGCACTATTACTTTTTTTCATCTTGTCAAAAAATCCCAAAACCAGCATCAAAAGACCAAAAAGACCAAAACCTACAACCAACTGACCCTACAGAAGGTATCATCTGTATATTAAAAGCTGGGTGATATTTTTATAGATGCTAACATATTAAATGCATATGTTGCACAAGGGTTATTGTCTCTCTTGTGAGTGTCACAAACATGTCAATCCAGCCATTTTTTGTAATACTCTGTGATAACCTCTGACATGTCTGCCTAGATTATTTTTTTTAATTTCAGATTCATTTGTAGAACCCAGTGTCAGGAAGTTTGAACCTCATTATGGAGTTGTACTGTATCCAGACATCACTCCTGCTCCCCTCCCATCAGATTGTATCTTTGGAGGCCCAGCAGATAATACTTTTGTCTTCTGCAGCTTAGACCTGAGTGTGCATGACCGAGTGTGGAGATGTGTGTGCGCGTGACACTGTGCGTCTGTGTCCCTAAAGACATTGTCTTTGCTGTATTGTGTGTTGTCTTTGTGCTGTGTAGCAGCTGTGCTCAGAAATGCTTCAGTGAGCCCACACAGGCTGTTCAGCATTCGTGCAGGATGTCAGAGTTATCCACCATCACACTGTAAGTGTGTGTGTGTGTGTGTGTGTGTGTGTGTGTGTGTGTGTGTG